AGCCTCACGCTCCCGTTGTTCAAGTGGGCATCTCCGAGAAGCTTCAAGCTGCTGAGTGCGACRGTGCCGAAGTCAAATTCAGTGACGGCGGCGGCGGCGGCGAAATTGGAGTTTAAACTGAAATTGAAAATGCTACTTCTTAAAAGGCAAAATAGAAGTGCTGTGAACGTAAATGGCGAGGAAATGGGAGAGAAATTCAACATTATTGATCTTAAGCACTGCTCTTCAGACCCATCTCTGAAATTTCAGTCCTTTTTTTTCCGGTGACGTTGAGGAAGACGATGACCAAATCACGGGTAGAGAGAGAAAGAGGAGGGAGAGAGGGAGGAGGAGAAGAAGAATGGTATTTTCTTTGCCTTAAAAACAGACCAAACCTCAGCAAACAAACAAGGAATACTAAAGAGAATCCAAAGAGGACAGGTGGACCGACGTCGCGACACGTGTCCCTCCACAACGGTAATTTTTCGATGATAAAGCAACTTTTTTTCCTTTTTTTTTCCTCCTTTCTTTCCTTTCACATCTTTTTACAGGGTGGACGTTTTTGTCGCACGTGGCTTGCAGCAGCGCGTACGGCACGCTTTTTTATCCGGGCCCACATGGCTGCTCTCTAGGCGCTGGGCCCCACGCGCTGCCCACGTCAGCTTTCCGATTTGGCAAAACCAGGCGTAGGCGGCCCTGGTTTTTCTGTGTCTGGCTAATCATAGCATTAAGTGAGTAATTAGTGTTAGATTGATATGTTCTGTAAAATATTTTCTGAAGATATTCTTTATCGTATTTAGTGCGTTGTCGGGTGAAAAATACTACTGTGAAATTATTGGGAAAAGGACATGATTACTGTAATTTTGGAAATTATAATTTAAGAGACTTCACGTGATGATTTTGAAAAGCTATGGCAGATTCTTTTTTTTTTTCAAAGAATAATTATTTAAGATATTTATTGGAGGTAATTTCTCGCTTACTCTCGCGAATGTAGATAAGTTAGTGACTTGTGGAAGGATTCTTACTTCGAATATCATTATAGAGGTTAAGCCGAGCTATATAATACCTTAATAGCTTAGTATACAAGTCGAGTCGAGAAATAATCTACTTCCACTTCGGTCACTTGAATGACTAGTCGTGCCGATCCAAGAACACTCTTTCAGGAACTCAACTTCGACATAATATTAGACAACACGTCGTGATTACCGAGCTGTCCAAAAATCATTGGAGGCTTGTTGAATCCCCTATCAAAAGTTCTACTTACAAATAGGAATCTTTCACCTCATTTTTAGATACGTGAAATTATATTATCTCTCAAGTGTAAATTGATCATCTATTGACTTGAACGCAGAATGTTTGCTCTCTTTTGTAGGTCTCCTACTTATGAACACGTCAACTCACCTTAAGGTCCGTCATCGTTCAAACTTGCTTAAAATCTTGGTCAAACAATATTCAAACTTTCACAGGGAGGCTTGGAGCTGTGATAATAAATGACAGATAAAATTTTAAGAGTTTGTATGATATTTTTACTGTGCATTCTTTTTAATTTATATTTTATTTATGCAATTTAAGTAGCTTTACTTTTATATAAATTCCTACATCTATTTTTCTTTTAAGTTTGTTGTACGTCGATTATTATTGTTATTTTTATTATTTTTCTGAGGAAATGCATCAATTAATTAGTTGACAAATAATTTACTAAAATATAAGTATTCGTTTGAAATTGTTGTGTCTAATTCAAACATTCACACTCTCTGCCCCTATTAAATTAGATTCACTCACATTTGCTAGTGTTATTAAAATATAATATTATATATATTATAAGTAAGAGTACATGTGGATTTGTTAAATGTTATCCCATTTCCTCTATTATTATTATTAACCCCATAATTATGTCAATTATAAGTATATTTTTTTTTCAAACTTGTTGAACGTTGACTAATAATTCAAGCTTGTAAGTGTGAGCTTAATCTTATTTTACATGAATACACAATTTTTTCAACGAACATTTATTTAATTATTTTAAATGTTGTTTAGTAAATAGTTAAATAATGAGAAAAGCGGAGCTCTGACTAAACTCAGTTTAATTATTTAAATTTTTAAAAATTAATTTAGTTATACCTGCGATCCATTTCTTTGTAGGTAAGTTAGAGATAGTTTGATTCATATTGTATTCTATTTGTCAAAAACCAAAATGAAAACATAATTCAACGGTGGAAGGTTAAGGGAAAAAAATTTATCCCTCTAGATCTAATAAAGTGCATACCATAAATTTCAAATTTCATCAAATTAGATCGGATTGACAAACAACAATGTAAAAACTTACTCATTTAATGAAATCAAATTTTACACGAAACGAAGTTTTACGAATGCACAAAATCTACTATTTAGTAACTATGTCATAATCATATATATTTCATTCGACCTACGCTCAACATTTCATTAGACTATACTAAAATATTATTTTCAACAATTTTTCAAACAAAAATATATAAAGATTTAAAAATTATGACAACGGTTTAAAGGTAGAGACTGCGACATTTTTTAAGGGGGAGATTATTACACTTGTCTGAAATTTAAAAAGCAATTTAATGAAATAAAAAACTTCCGAGTAAAAATGGATATTTTTCCAAACATTTTCAGTTAATGAAATTTACAATAAAAAGAGGAAAAAAAAACTGCCACAAAAGTCAAATCGAAGTGATCACACGTTTGTTTTGTTTTCCAAATTTCCTCAGCCAATGAACCAGCTGAAGCGCTGTCGTTTTAACCACGTCATAATTATCTTCCCTCGTGAGCACGTGGGCCACCGTCCGATTAACTCTCACTTGTTGGGTCCAGATCTGGTTGATGAGCGGCTGGATTTGATGATGAGTATGTCGATTGGTGGGACGGACCGTAGAGGATCAGGAGGAGATCTCGAGAAGAATGGAGGCGGAGGCGGATTTGCAATCGGTGCGGGTCCCACAGTTTGTTAAAAACGCACGGGACATCTAATTATGTGAATCTTGACTCGGCTTCATCGGACGGCCCACGTTCGTTGATTTTTGCCCACTATTTTTTTTTCCTACTGTGGAGTGCTTTTGAAGGCTTTCTTAAAGAATGGCCAATGTTTTTTTAACGTAAGAATTATTGTTTTGAGCATTAAGGATCAAGAATTATTTAATACTTTTCATTTTTTTTTCAAACCTTTTTTTGTCTCTTTTGTTTTAATTTTACCTCACCGTTATAAAAGTTTATTTCTTTCATTGTTGTTTCTTTTTTAATATTATAATTCAAATAAAAAAACCGAAATTTAAACTTAAAAGTTACTAAGATGTATCACTAGTTGAGTTATATTTAAGACATAAAATTTGAAGTATAAAGATTAAAGGTTGATGTTATTTATTATAAAATTTAAAGTTCTAAATTTTGTCAAAGAATTTTGAATACTTTTGCCCATTTAAACATAGCTTAATTAGTTATGATATATATCTCGAACAAAAGTTCGTGAGTTCGAATCTATATTCTACATTCTTTGTTATACTAGAATAAATTGAATATTTTGTTTATTTAGTTGTTGAATTTTCTTTCCGAAAAAAAAATAACATAAAAAACATATGATCAAAAGATAGTGAGTTGAGATCTCCACCTTCACATGCTGTTTTTTTTTWAAAAAAAAAACATGTTTGATTACAAAAATTACGAACTCCGATCCACGAAGCTCGCCCTATGATTGTCAACGAATGCTCATAATCTAGACAGTGAGTGAAGGCTTCGACTTTCAAGTCAATCTAAATCTAAGTCTGATTTATTACTCCGAGAGATAATAGTCTCTTGTACCTAAGAAGTGATGCGGAACTTAGTCTAAATTATTAGTTGGTTTGGTTTTGTGCGACCCTAAAATGGGTCAAACATCTCAAATACTTTAGTTTGGTCTAAATTATTGGTTTGGTTTTTGATTTTGTCAAACCCTAAAATGGGCTTAAACATCTCATTTTGAGATTTGATATATGTACAGCGTTACATCACAATAGACTCATCAATGCTTGTTATTAAAGAGAATTACACACCATCATAGTAAAATAAGCAACCCAACCATCATATTTTTACAATTCCCCAAACATTATTCATCTTTTGATGAAGGGATTAGAACCCCTTAATGGTTATTTTAAACAAACTCAATCTTATTAACTGGGCCAAACAGGATTGCCATTAATTAATGTAACGACAATCTTTTCTAATCTCTCCTTCATCTCCGGTGAGCGGACTATTCTCCGACAATAAAAGAATACCCCTAGAGAATTGGGCATGGAAATAGTCGTTATCAGCCGCAAACTTCTTGACATATGGAAGAGTGAGAGGGTTAGAAACCAATTGCTGGTCCACCAAGAGCAAGCCCTTGTGTTTTAGTATATTACTATAGTACATGTTGTCAAGAATCATTGGAGTCTCCCGATCGTTTCTTGAATACAACACTGCATTCGGGTCAGGGGTTGGCGTTGGGCATCGACCTTTTAAGTATTTTGCGTATTCAGGATCAATGGTTGGATCAACGGTTGGATATAGCCTTTCAACCAAGTTCACACAATGAACTCTACCAACTGAGTGAGCCCCTAAAAGAATAAACAAAGAGTAATAGATAAATTAGAGTTTAAAATTACTTAATCACACTAAATTTATTTGTTTTTTCATGCTCTAAAAATAAGAGAATGGTTTGAGAAAATAAACTAAAATTTGAAGGTCCATTAGTACAGCCCATTTAGCTGAAGTGGAAGCCCAACTGGACAAGCCTTATAGCCTATTCATTTTGAACACAAATTTGCCCTCTTGGCCCAATTATTTGGTTCCATTCAGCTAATGGCCTATCCAATATTATAGATCTGAGTAATTAAATAATTAACAATATAGATCTAATAATAATCTTATTTTTAGTTTTAAAAGTTTCCTACTTTTTAAAAAAATACTTTCAAATTATTAGTCAAAAATTTAAAAGTAAAACTAGATTTTGAAGATTGTTTTTTTCCCCTAAAAAACAAACTAAAATCTACCAACAAATAAATACTTTTTGGGAAAAAAAATAAATATTGAACTTAGTATACATCTTATAGACTCCTGATTTTAACCACGTGCCTTTCAACTTACTTTCGGATTTTCATTTAGTAGATCAGTGAATTAGAAAAATGTGGTTAGAGAACTATAAAGCACAAAATTGAAAGATTTATTAGACATGCTTTAAAGTTTAATGACATATTGGCCATAATTCTGAAAGTCTAGGGAACAAAATTATAGCTTGAGCATTTATATTTGCAAACCTAATAGAGCGACAGTTGCTTCGGTATCAATGCCAATAGATTGAAAGCGCGAGAGAACGTTTATAATGGAATCGTTGTGCCTTGGGATCAACTCTTCGACAAGTTGTGAATAGCTCACTTTACTATCTCTTCTCCCAGTTTTCATCTCTATATGAGGTCCTTTCAACTGCATCATATATAGTTACCCAAACTTTATATAATGGCAAAAATAATAATAAATAAGAACACTTTTTTATTTTGGAGGGGAAAATACCATGACAATGCCGTCTCTAGCGGAGAGAGCGACGATATCGGCACAAGAAACAGTAAGAGCACATTCTTTTTCGACAGCTGCTTTGATCTTGTTTACGTATTTGAAATTTCTCATCCCAAAACTCCTTTCGGATTCCTTCTCCGATTCCACACCAACGACCGTCTCCAAAAGCAAAGACGCATCGCAAGCCTACACATACAAATCATATTTTAGTGTCTCGTTTTCACTTGCTTTATTTTTTGTCCTCGAATTTTACCTTATTTTAAACTTAAAATCTGATTTGATAGCTCAAAGTAAACTCATGCATCTATCCAGCGACTAATGTCAAATTTAAGAATGAGTTAGTTTGACTTTTACGTCAAATCAAATAGCAAAAATTCAAAATCTAAAACGTAATATTACAAAATAACATCAGAAATAAAAATAATAGCATTAAAACAAAACAGTTCACCACTCAAACTATTATTTTCCATCTCCATCCAAAAATTAATAGAGAAAATTAAAAACATTAATTGAAATAAATACAAAAAATTAATTACCTTGACAACGCAGTCGTGGAAGAGGTTTCTGAGCCATGAAACGGCGGTGTTTCCATGTTCGTAGTAGAGATCCATAACTTGCTGTTTTATAATTTCTTCAGCTTTTGGGCAGCTTTTTGCGTAATAATTTAATTGCAGATCGCTCCTTCCTATTTCCCAATTTTCAAAAATTATCCAAATCAAATTTTATTATCATTTTTCAGTACGAAAAAAATAGAGAAAATAAAAGAAAAAGAAAATGGGACCTGAATAGAAGAGCTGCAACTGCAAGAGGAGAAGAAAAAGAAAGCTGAAATGGTTCTTGGCCGCCATTTTTGAGCTTCGGAGCTTCTGGTTTGGTCTGAGTAGCCATTTTCATGGCCTTTTTATAGTGGAAGAAGAAGAAGAAGAAAAAATTATTTAAAAAAAAATTGTTTTTTTTTTTGGGTCACTGCCGACGAAAATTGACAATTATTGAAGATGGGATTTGATTTTGTAATTATCTTTTAAATTTTAGGATTTTTCTTTTTCAATGCGTAATTGTTTATAATTGGAATTTGATTTGAGATTTTGCATTACTTTCGGCAGCTAGACTGATTTTATTGTTTAATTAATTAATTATTGATAACGGGACTAAGTTTAATTCAGACAAATTAAGATATTGAAAAAAAATTATAGGTCTAAATATCTTCCTATTCTTTCCGACCTGAGCTTATCTCAATTATAATTGGTATCTGTCTTTGACAAAAAGCCATAAATTCGAATCTCACACGTCATTTTCTGTACCTACAAAAGAAAAAAAAAATCTCGCCTCTTATTTGAATTGTATTACTTTAGAAAATAATAGACATATGCAATTAGTGGCCATAGGTAACGTATGATCTGTTTGGTAACATTTATGTTTCTTGTTTATATTTATTTAAGTTTCTTATATACTTAGATTGATAAATCGATTAAAGACTAAATGTATTATAAATTATAAATATTAAACCATTTTATCTTATATGATAAAAATCGACAAAAGAGTAAATTGTTATATACTAAAATTCAAGGATAAAAATTTAAAAACTAACAACTAAAAATAATAAACAAAAAACGAGAACCTGACTTATTCAAAACATTATTTTTGCGTTAAAACAAACGTAGTTCAACGGTAATTGATATATGTCTCCAATCAAGAGGTTATGAGTTCGATCTCCTACCTTACATGTTCTACTTAAAAAAACATTATCTTCGTACCGGCGAAGATGATTTTTATGTATTGATTGAGCAATTTTATTAGTATTTATAAAAATAAAAACTGAACTAATTAATTATATTAAGGATTAATGAATACACCAAAAAACTCATATGCCTATTGATGGTTTCTTTTTCTTTTTCTTTTAATGAAATATGCCTATTGATGGTTGATACAATAATGAGTGATTTTAAAATATCTGCATTTTGATATATTTAAGGTAAATTGGAATTATTTGTTTTTTTAGCAAATAAATAAATTATTGTGATTAAATTGGCGGAATTTGATTTTGCCTCCCCATTTTTTAGTATAGTTTTTTTCTTTTTTTTGGCTTCGACTGGGCATTTTGTTTGTGACTGGTACTTTTGAAAATTTCAGTTTGGACATTAATTATTTATTTGATTTTTATCCAATTATTAATTGATTATGGAATTTAATATTTTTATTTTCATCAAATTCAACAAGGAAAAAAAAATCGGAGACAGATTTCAGTAACATGGGTTTAATTGACTTTTTTCGGCCTTACAATGTTTTAATATTGGTAAGTTGAACAGTATTTCAACCCAATTAATATGTATCGAATCATTTTTTTAATATAATAAATTTTTGGAGAAAATTTGTTTTTAACCCATAATTAGTAGTGCAAACAATTTTTTTTCTTTATATCTGTGAGACGAGTTGATCCCGAAAAACATGGATGGAGCACAATTTAATTAGTTAAAATATTAGTAAACATCTTTTGATTTTTTTTTTTACTTCAGATTTGCACTATTGATAATAGTATTTTTTTTTAAGGTTTGCTTTTTGTTTTTTGTTGTGTTTGATTTTTTTTAGTACAATATGTAGAGTGGGCATCGAACTCGCAATCTTTAGTTGGAGATATATGCATATGCTCACGGTTGTGTTGATATTTTTCTCAGCATGATTAACATTTTATTGACAAATATTTTTATAATTGGCTTTGAATATGTGGTTTATTAGTCAAACCCACTTGTTTAAATCTATGGTTCAACTAAAATTAAAATTATGATATGAATGAATGATCGAGGTTAAAAAGATTTAAAAGAAACTTTTCAATGCTAAACCATGCATAACTCAAGTGACACCTATCTCTGTTGTATTAAAAAAAAAATTCAATAAAGAGACTTCATATAATTAATTAAGATTATTTTTTTAAAATAATGAATGATTAGATGTGGAATAAATAGTTCAATAATACTTTTTAATTACTATGATTCAGACATTACAATACTATTAGATACCAATAAAATATATTATATTTGAAAGTAATAATTTTAATGCATGAATTTTTAAAATATCTATTTATATACTATTTTGTCACCTAGTATTTGCTTTAACTTATGTAGCTGGAAAATATTCACATGTTAATATATTAACGCATGTATTCATATTTGTAAAATAAAAATAAGGATACAAACAGCTATTTATTTTTTAAAAAAAGCAATAACTAAAATAGATATTTAAAAAATTTTTAAGACTAAAAATAATTTTAAAAGTTATAGGACAACAATGAAATTTTATTTTTACATTTTATTTTATTATTTACGAGTCACGAGTGTGTTAAATGGAAGTCCCCTTCCTTCCCACTACGCCACTTTCTTTGACCTCACGCTACCATTGTCCTCACGCGACCACCAGCGGTGGGCCCAGTTGGCCTAATCAAAACTTTTTAAATATTATAAGAAAATATAATAAAAATAAATAAAAATAATACTAGAAGATTGAAATTAGCGGAGATCATAAAACTATTTACGAGAGTATGATTAAAGTAAAAAATTGGAGAATAAAAAAATTATCTATGGATAGAGTTTATAATATGATTGGTTATGAATATTTGAAATATATGGAGACTGTTCTAGAAGTTCTACATGGATACACAAGTTTCAAATCTATTTTTGTGGAGTTCCAATGAAGATGGAGGAAGTTGATTTTGCATTCAATTTTCGTAAGTTTGTGGAGCATTTTTTGCATCCTATTTTTTTACGTTTCTGACAACTCATCTCTTGTCTAGTAGAATGACATGTTTCGGTCATCTTCTCTATTACTTAGAAAAAATGAATCGATCCACCGATTCAGTTACAAGATACTTTTATTATCGTCTGGATAATTAGACATCCGACACTTAATCACGATCCAATTGCAAGAGTTCTACTCTACCAATGTTGAGTTATATCCCGTGGCTAAGTGGGGCCATAAAATTTTATTTGTTACTAAAAATATATTTTGTAAGTTTGTTTATTTATATTATTTTAGCATAAATATTTTTTTGAGTAGATATTTTATTATGAATGACAACACTATGATACTTAAGATGACAATAATATTGAGTGACATAATGTCAAGTGACAAAATAATAATAATTATCAAAATATTTGTTTTTTAAATTTTAGAGATTAAATTTGATATTCCTATATTTTTAAGATTAAAATAGATATTTTGAAAATAATAAAAAGGTATCAAAATATTGAACTTAAAATTTGTAAAGTTCAAGACTAATAATTTTATAAGTTTTGAGACTAAATCAGACTCTTTAAAATTTTAGAGGCCAAACTTAAACTTCAACRAACTTTGTACAAAACAAAATTTAACCAAAAGTGTGATTAGAGATTTTGTAAACTATAAATGAATTTAAAAATATGTTTAAAGTATAAGATGTGCTTTATTTATTTATTATTATTATTTTCATAAGGAAGAGTATGGTTTATAAAAATTATACGCCATTGAGGTCCAACTTGAAATTATTTTATCGAGAAATAAATTGCAATTATAATTTAAAATCATTATCTTGTCGAGATGTGCCTTATCGGGTACATTTATTGAGCTCAATAAAGTCAATGGAAACTTGACAACGTTTAAAAAATTAATAGTACAAAGTTCGGTTGGCACATGCATTTCAAAGTTTTTGTTTTTATTTTTTGAGAGCTTTATTTAATTGTTATAAGTACTTTTCTTTTTTAAATATTCAGATTATAAAAATAAAAGGCATCCAATTTTTTAAGTTCTTTTCCTCGAAGAGTATAATATTTACACCATACTTAATGGCATTTAAAAATATTAGGGCTTTATAGTAATTGTAATTTTTAGCAATGTATACGTCGATAATTTCACATGTTTACATTTGTCTTTTTTGTCTTTTTTTTTTTTATTTTTGTTTTTTTGGTTTAAAACTATTGATCTCTGCAACTTTGGTTTATTTTAACTATATATCGTACCCTCTCACCCGTCCAATCCGCTCTAAAAACAGTGGGGAGCGGGATGGCCGGCAACCTACTCCCCTCCTCTCTTTTTCCTCTTTGTGAAAAATGTGCGTTTTCTCTCAGTCTTCTGATTGAGTTTTATCAAAAGGTGTTTTCTCTATGCTTTGTTCCGATTCTTCCGTGATGTTTTTTTCTAGAAGTAAGTAGTATGAATCTAAATATAATAGAGACCTCTTTTACTGTTGTGGAGGCGAATTTCAGGGATGATCTTTCTTCCTCGTTGGTTTGTAGACGATGCTCGGGTGTTGAGATCTCCTCGTTAGATGTTGATCATGTTGTTGTGGCTGACAAAATCAAAACCAACATTGCTATGTATAGTCTGTGGCTTAGTCATTTGGGCATTTTGAAGAGTTATCAAGCACAGAATTGGAGATGGCATCCACCTGCAATCTCTTAGAATGACTCTTCATCTCTGTTTCATCTTGCTTCATAGAACTTCCATGGTCCGAGGGCAAGGAAGACGGAGTTGCAGCGGCAATCGATTCAAACACCGTTTTGGAATCCAGAGAGACTATCAGTCTTAATTATATTAAGATTTGTGACCAACATGATTTAGGGAATTTGCCTAATCCTTCCTCACCTATCATGGTGGAGAATAATGCAACTTTGAAGGTAATTATTTCCCTTCCAATTGTGAATATGAGTGCTATAATTGACATGATATCTCAATTAATTGAGAATTCTCTCCCGATAACTTTTGAGAAGGTGTTTCGTGTGCTAAATTTTGTTAATATTTATAGTTCATTGAATAGGCAAACTGTTTTATTGAACAAATGTGTCATTTCTGATCGTTTCTATGTCATTTGGGACAATTGTTTTCCTTCATGAATTATGATGCTGATGTGTGGTCACCAATCTTCATATGTAACCCTTAGTAGTATTATTTCTATTTAATGCAATGTTTCTTTGTTTAAAAAAAAACTATATATCATACTTCCAAAATGTCTATTTTAATTCATGTACTTTTAACTTTTGTTAATTTTAATCCCTATATTTTAAAAATTTCTATTTTGGTCCTGACCCTTCATATTTTTTAGAACTGATCTTTTTTGATCCTTACTCAAAAATTTTATACACAATAGAAATTATTTTCTACAATCTTTTAAATACAATTTAAGAAATCATAGGAGTGAAATATCATGCTAAAATCGTAGTCGTAATAGAAAGAAATAGACAAAAATAAGAATAAAAAGATAAAAAAAAAGGGATAAAAATGAGATATATTGTAATAAAAAAATAGTATTTACACCTTTCCTACTATATAGAAAGTTGAATAAAATTAATGCTTTGATATTAATTTAATTAATAATTAATACGTAGCATATTTTCCAGCCTCAAGGGTCGAAATATTAAAATGTTATATTTTCATTATCCAATTATTTATATTTGGATATCATCACTACTCGAATATATTGATGGGGACGTGGAGGGTATCCGTTGGAAGCAATCCAACCTTCATCATTTTTTTCCTTATTTAATTGTAGTTGGAAATTTCAACACCTTTAAAATAAAAAATCGATATACATAAAAAAAAGATGATAATTGAACATTTTAATTAGATATATCATTGTTCCATTTGATAATAATTTCATTGATAAGACCTGTCTAATAATCTATATATTTATCCTTTTTCTTAATCTATATACATTTTTTAATTTATCAAATAAACACTAAACTTAAATAATAAGGAAATTGATCCTAAAATTATATTTCATTAGAAAGTTTATGATTATTACGTATTTTTGTGACTTAGAAAAATTATTTATGTATGTACTGTGGTTGTATTAGATATTTTGTTACTGAATTTAAACAACATTTTTTATTAGTCTTGAATATGAATAAATTATAAATTAATCAAAAAAGCTTAAGTGGAGGAATTATAGTAAATTTATTTCATAATCAGATTGATTCCATGACCAAATATTTATAGTATTCTCATAATTAGTTTGAGTATTACCATCACTTCATTTTTAGTATTTAGTTAAATTTTTATGAGATTTGTTGTTCAGTTCTTGAGAAATTTTAATTTTTCTAAAAAAGATATTAATTTTACAACGTTTTGAAGGTCGATTCGATTATTTATTTATTTTTGTAAAGAGGTTATTTACTATTATTTTTTTGCAATAAAGAGGTCGAATTTGACTTTTAGACTTATGTATAGAGTATAAATTTTATCCTTTTTATTATGGTTGTCTTATTCAATAAAGTAATTATTAATTATTTTTTCCTTATTAGTATCGGTTGCTTTATCGGGAAGAAAAATGTGCCGTACAAACTTCTCTCTCCGGATTTTCCCTCCATCTTCTGTATTTTCTAGTTTCTCCATTTTCGTGGATGAAAAAAAACTTTTTTATTTATTTTTTTATTTTATTTTTAAGTCTCTTGGATGAAAAGTTCTGAACAGAGGAAAGTTAAAAATATCAAATTTAAAAGGTGTATCAATTTTTATCATTAAATTTCTATATAATCTAATTGAGTCTCAAAATTGAATAAATGTTACGATGTTCGCATTAAACTTAAAAAATTGCTTCAATTTTAACTGTATGATAAGTTTTTGTTTGAAAGTTGTATGAAAAAATTCAGACAAATTTGAAATTATGTTTTTTTTTGTTAAAATTAATGGGTGAATTAGCATAAATTGAATCAAACATAAAATCACAACACTGATTTCAAAGTTTGTTGAAGGAGCACGATGTCTTAAGCTAAGATGATGTTGACGACAAATTCCATTATTGAAATGTTAAAAAAATTGAAAGTTATACTGATGTGTTAAATTTGAAAAAATATGAGATTTACAGTGTTTTTTTTATAGTACAACAAATGAGAGGTATGAGAATTTGAAAGAAGTAGATGTCATTTACCGCATGTTGACCCAGCCCGTTATTCGGGAACCTCGGGGCTACACAGCTAATCAGGCCTATTTTAAGAGATGCAACAATTGGGTCCATTTGAAAGGATGCACCATCAGGCCCATTCTAAGGGATGGCATGCAGCTGGTAGGCTCAGCCTCCTCCTCCAAATATTGCTATCTTAAATGAAAACATTTTTTTTTTCTAATAAGACAAGTAAAGATTGTTTTTTCAAAAATATTATATAAATTTCAAGAAATTAAAAAAACTTATGAACGTAAATTATGTTAAATTTGGATGAAGTAATAAATAGGTAATGTTTTGAGTATAATTGGCTCTAAAAGTAATAAATATGGTCTCATATATAATTTTCAATAAAAATAAGACTCTTTTTAAAGATTATTATTTAGTAGTTATCTATATACATAATTATATACTCCTTTTGGGGTAGGTTCCAAATTTGAATCATTATCTTGAAAAAAAAAACACATATAAAAATTAAAAAATTACAAGCAAGGAAAAATGAGCTTCCATTCMATCATGATGTGTGACACAAACTCAATCAAGAGTAAACTCAACTTGCTCCTTAGCCTTTTTTCCCATTAATTTATTATTCATTTGTCTTACAACAACTCTACACAAACTTTCTTCTTAAAATAAAAGTGAAAGAAAAAACTATACATAAAAGTACAATTTTTATTCCTTTACAATTGGAGGGTGAAAGAACAAAGTTGATGGAGGGTCAAAATTTTATTCAAAACGACTTAATTAGATAGTGTTATTATTACGTTGAAATACAACTGTTTTTCAAGACTAGTTATCCAAACATGTTTCTACTGARTTTTTGTTTATCAAAAGTAAAAACTTCTATTTGAAAAGAGTCTTAAAATGAGCGTTTTAAGATTCTTGTTGAATTTCAGAYGCAACRGTTTTAGCCCAAAATTTGAGGTGTTTCTTCATGTCCGAGGTCGAAGAAACCTTTGACATCCTTAGTTGTAAAAGAGGAGAATTTGGTCTTTTTATTGTCCATGCCTCTGAGAGATATGGCCTTGATTTATCTCTCTTATGATCTTCATCATCATTTTYTTCATCATTTTCTTCTTCAAGYTGTTTCCGTTTGTTTATGGGAATTCCAAGTCTTTGTAAACCAGGAAGTAATGTCACCATTTGAGGGTTCAAATTTTCTCTCTTGAATTCAAACCCCAAATCAATAAACCCTTTAACTTCTTCAAGTTCCAACTCTCCCAAACTTCTACAACTTTTTGATTTGTTCAATTTTATCCCCACTGCACACAACAATATTATTCTTATCAATATCATCAATAGGAACTTTCGTCACTTACTTAATTTATTTTAAAATATAATTCGATAAATAATATTTAGTGCTTATCGATCAACMTCCATTTTCGTGTTGACCTTCTGTAAAAAAAATTAACAATAAAATAGGAAAATAATATATAGCTTCTATCGTCAAGATGGAGGTTGATTGGTAAGTATTTTTCAAATTTAATTATGCATATATAAGTAACATTAAACCTGAAGATTTGAGATTGTTGGGCATTTTTTCAGTTGATTCTCTCTTTTCAACTTCTTTCTCTTTGTCATCATCATTACTACAACCTTCCTGTGCCAAAAACAAACACACACAAGAAAATAAAAATATTGGTCACTCCAAAAGACAAAGGATTGTCTATTCCTTCCTTCCTTGACTTGTTCTGCAAACGACTCTATTAAAAGTTAAGAGTGGGATTAGATGGATTACSTGTGAGTCGAGGGAGATATCATYGACAGAGGAAACCGAGAGAGWCGAGAAAGAGGAGGGGATAATTGTTTCATTTGTTAGAGGTGAAGAGGGAGATGGGCAAGAAGGAAACTTCGTGAAAGGCAAAGTTTGGTCAAAATTAGGAAGATGGGAAGAACTTAGAGGATCTGACCAAAGAATGATTTGGTGGTACCAAAGGCGATCCATGGCTGAAACCAAACATAAAGTACAAGTGTTCATAGCCATTGAAGAGAGAAAGAAATCAAGTTTGGGATATAAAAAACCATGGAAGAGGGAGAGAGTTTGTGGTTGAAATGAAAGAAAAATGGAATGAATGGGAAAGCAAATGAAAAAAAAGGGCAAATTGGAGTGGGAATGGCTTGCCTTTGGCTTTGGGGGAATATTGGAGGATGTGGTCACAAGTGAATATGAATCCATATCTCTTCCTTTAGTTTAGTTTCTTTCAAATGGTTAAATTACTCTTTTGCCCTATCTTTTAGGAACAGGGCATCTTTTTAAAAATAATTATTCTCCCACCTCGGTTATTTTCAAGAGTGATGTCGATTTTTCAGTGACTTACAAAATCTTCTAATTACGTTGTTTATTTTGTGTTTTTTTTTCAGGTCAAATAATCAGCTAATTTGTTAGCGTGGACGTAGTTAAGTATTTTTTGTGTACTTCAATTTGTTCTCTAACTTGATCTTTAATGGTGTGTACTAACTTTTGATCTTAGTCTGTTGCATCAGATTAATTCTTGCGAGGTATTTTTGGATAAAATTTTCAAAGTTATACCTTACAAAATATTAAAAAAAAAATCCTATAGTTCTTACTTCCATTTTACACAGGATATAAAACTAAGAGAAATATTGAAGGACGAGTCAAAAATGGTAGGAATGTTGAGGCGGCGACTCGGGTCACTCTCACCCATACAGATCAAAGGACGAGCCCTCACGGGCAGGAGTCCATAACTCACTCAGGATTGAGAATGAGTTGCCTGGTCATCCTAAGAA